AGGGCCTTCATGTGCGTCCTTCAAGTTGCTTTACTGAACTACCTATTGGTCGATGTTGAGCATGTGATCACAAACCAAACAGTCGTGTTCAGCTTGCAAATGTTATAGTCGCTGTTGTTTGACACAAAAAAAAAAAATCTTTTTTTCCCTTTCAAAATTAAATTATATGTGTATTTCTGGAGCCTCTGTTTTCACAAAGAAACATAACATGGGGAAAATAATACATTTAACTTGTTTACGAGGCAGAGTGATGAAATTCCTTGAGGACCTAACATCATTGGCACAGTTAGCGCTGAGCACACATTGCCAGACTTTCTTTTTTCGAAATGCTGGCTTATCGAGAGAGTTACAGAGTTACCTTTTACAGCCTCCTGTAGAAACAGAACGACGGCTTCGTGGTATATTACCGTGCGGCTCCATAGTGCGTTGCTAGTTCCTACCCCACACGCGTTATCTCCTCTGGCATGACAATGTCTGATTCATCGATAAAGTTCATTAATCACCTCGGGGGCCTCAACATATGTAAAAAAAATGTAAATGAAGCGGAAATCATCTTTCCTGGAATCGGCGAGACCGCGTGATCCCCGTTGGGAGTCAAAGCGGCCCAAGAGAACTGATACGGTTATACGACTGATCTCGCAACCGTGGAAAACTGAATCAAATTGGATTTGAGATGCTAAAGAAGGTCTTAACGAGGACAGCTTTGTATCAGTTTGGGTCGTAATCTGGTTGCCGTAAAGGCATAAAACGGGAGCGTTGGTTTTGGCCGGAGTGGCGGTTTTGGGCCGACGGCACGGAGGCAGCTCATAAGCCTCTTTTGGGAGCGGGGAGAAAAGCCCTCGGACGGACAGTGTGAAAGCCATCGTTTAAGGTAGTGGATCAGAAGGAGAAGGAAAGCCACATGTTGTGTTTAATAGCAATCACGCTAATTCAAAAGCACACTATTCAAATAGACCCAGTGCCCCCCCACTGGGTCTATTTGAATAGTGTGCTTTTGGAATCTGAAATGAAACATCCAGCATCTTGAAAGCCGTAAGCTTCCCTCCCGAAAGATGGAACCTGACATCAAAGGAGATCTGTGTGCGTCTTTTTTTAACAATGGCCGCCGACTACCGATAATAATGTTAAGATTTTACGGTTTTCAAAAGGAACATAAACCTTTTCAAGCACGGCTAATCAAGGTTTTGACATAAGGATAAAATCCCAACTGCAAATATTAAAAGTGTTGCTGACAGTGATCAAAGAACAGAGAATTGTCGTCCCCCCAAAACCCCAAAGTGTGCAACGCGGAGCATTTAGCTGCTAAACAGTCAAAAGAGAGTCAATGTCAGACGTACATTTACTAGGTAGCAACTGTGTGGGCACATCGCTAATACCAATGATGTTTATAGCTTGTTAGCTGCAGGTAAATGGCAATTTTTTTTTTTAAATGAAGCTATAAAAATACATTATTTACCTGAATCAATTTCATTTTTCATAAGGAGAACGTCAGGTGTTTTATGCCTGTGTATTACACTGTTTGAGATTGTGCGAGACCAACAACACAACACTTTTGACCGGATCACGTGTTTCTCTCTCTCGGGATTTTTCCCAAATCCCAAGTGTCTGTGCGCTGAGCCACGGACATTTACACGTCGTCTTACGGTCTGAATCGCTGCCAATGCAGCTCGATAAAGGCCACAGATTACTTAGCGCCCCGTTAACCTTTATTTCCCCATCTGTTAAAGAAACAAAGTCATCAATAATAGCATTATAATAGGCTAAAACCTTCTGTGAGAACAAAGACAAACTGGTAGAGAGTTGGATAAGTCCTTAAAGTTAACATTCAAGTGTCTCATGTGGCACATGAACCAAAAACAACCCAAAGAAACGACGTTCAATGCAGTCAAACGCACGTGCAGCGGTTGAGAGCTTAAAAATCCATTTTCTTCGACCATTCAGCACAGAGACATTCGGGATATGAGACTGTTCTGACGGATTTGTTTAGAATGGCAACACGAAAGAAATTCTGCTTCTAATTCCCACGGGAGACGGCGTCAATGTCTCGGTTACAGCTCTATTATAATTATCATGCCTCTAAATCCACCCGTAAATCCACCTCTCAAGTAGGATCAAGATTATCACGATTCTCAGCATCAAAACTATCCGCCTTTGACTCGTGAAAAACACAGATACGAGTTTTACAGATTGATCGAAAGTAGAATCTGATTTACAAAACCACAGATATTATTCCTCAGGGTTGAACCCCCCCCCCCACCACCCCCTCCCCATAATTCAAATCTATTCCAATGGAGATACCTAAAACTTATCAATAAAGTTGGGGTGGGGACGTATAAAGGGTGTACTGTGACCTGAACACTGAAGGGGCACAATTTAAAAAAACATTTAAGAGAACTCAGGTGGTTGTTGGCATTCAGTTAGCGTTAGGTCTCCCGCCTCAACCGGCTCAAGTTCCAGGATGTTGGGGAGTTGGTGCGTTTGCATCCTCTAGATCAAGCCTCTTTATTTTTGTTTTGTTCAACACCCGTTACGGAAACAGAGGCTAAAAGAACAGCTACTTCAAGCATAACACTTAAAGCAAATAATTGGCCACATCAAGAGGATATCTTTAAATACTGAACGCGTGTGTTCCTTTCTTTTGTGGAATGGTCAAATTCACAGAAATGGAGCATCTTTGCAAAACAACAACTGCCCCACTTAATTCTAAAAATATCAGTTCAAAACCTTGTATCATTCAAACACTACTTAACACCTCCACGGCTCACTAACTCATTAAATGAGACCACCAACTGTGTTTTCATTAAATGACTAAACGGGGCACGTTCTTAAGAGGCTTTTGGGTTATTAACTTGTGTCTGAAAGAGCGCCATCGCACATCAACACGCAGAAGATCAACAGGGGTCAAATGAGTCATAATCAAACGTCACTCCACACTTCTCCCCCCGGTATTTGCGAGGGACGGGAACATGGAAACGCTCACGGTCGTCGTCCTCCCGAAAGCCGCGTGCGACCCTTGATTGTACGTACACGCGAATCAGAAAACATTTATTTGCCAAGTTCGCTTTACACGCCAGGAAAGTGTCACGGCGGGCGGTGCAACACAAACGGGTCCAACACCACCGAGGTCGGGTTTAATTGAAGGCCACGCCGCAGGCCCGACGGCTGCGCCGCGGGTTGGCGGCGCGTAGCGTTCTAGCCAGAACCTACCTGAGCGGATGGGGAGATCCGACCACAAATACCTGGCAGATGAGCAGATGACTCGCTGCAGCTGTTATCTGTGGACGTGTCGATACAATCCTTCAGGACAGATACAGCTACAACGCAGGCCAGGAGGGGGCACATTCCACCCACAGGTTCATTGGCTTCTCTTTTTTTTTAGCATTTTATTTATAATTATTCTTCATAAGCTCTAGGTTGCAATCGTGTGTGTGTGTGTGTGTATACTCCTACCTAAAACCCTCTATGTTTATGGAAGAGGGAGCAGAGAAAAGGGAGAGAATATGAGGATTTTTCTGGTTTTAACTGAGCTGTAAAAACATCATATCTAGAAACACCAGAGCGATATCCTCAGTCTAAAGGTGTCCAACAAAGCGGTTTTGTTGATTATCTTTCTGTCCAATAAAGGCACAACAATAATTGCAATATTTTTGGACTATCTCAGTCAACAGATGTTAAAAACTCTATTTAGCTTCCGTGAAGAGACTTCCCCACTTGCAGGCTTATGTAGATTTATGGGCTAATTTTGGGCTCTGGCTCTAAAAACGTCCTGCACACAATTAAAAACAAAAAAACTGCCGGCGGAGCGACGCGCTGCGGTCTGATTGCTCACCTACAGCAGCCTTCCATCGGAGAGAAGAAAGAAATATATTTTTATTTTACGAGAAGAGCGTATCGAGCGAGAACTCGAATCTCACCGGTTCCCCTTTGGTTGCCATCGAGCCACTCTCAACGGGCCCATCTCGTTACAGGCGCCGCGGTTCCGGTCCGAGAACAGCACATTTAATGTGAGGGATTAGGGAGGCTTCAACAACGGGGCGACAGAACAACGCGGTTTCCTTTCCGGCAACGCAGCGAGTCCCGAACTACCTGTTTCGCCCAAAGGCCCGGGGACGTTTGGGGCGAAACGGCTCAGCGAGACGAGTCCCCGACACTATCGAACGCTGCAGCCTGGAATGGGACTCAGAGCGCGGCGCGCATCGCATCGCCGCCAATTCATTCCACCTTCCTGCTTTGTTGCAGTCGTGGCTTGATAGCAGGCCGAAGGTACCGTGCCCAGCCGAGCGGGAAAAACACTCTCTGGAACGGAAAGAAAAGGGAATAGAAAAGCAGGCCCTCGCCACGGGCGCGCCGCTCAGGGGGTTTAAAGATGTTAACGCACATCACCCAGAAGTCATTGCGGCTTTCGGGGTTTTTAAACAACGGCAAAGAAGACAACCACAGCGACCGGCCCTCCTGCGTTTGAGCCCCACGGAGTTGATCTCCATTTGTGTCACCCCGCTATTGGAGAAAATAGGCTACTGCTGAGCACACGCACAGCGCCTGTGCCTTCACAACAGCACACGGCGGCGTGACGGAGGATTTGCCCTCGATGATCATGTGGTACAGTTACACACATGCACATAGAAACGCACACTATTTAGCATTAAAGTGACAGTCTCTACCAGTCAGCATTGGTTAGCCTGATGGAGATGTATGGGAATTGGGGCCTGATGTTGTGCCATGTCAGGCTTCCATGTCCCTGAGAAAGGAGAAGACACTCCAGCGTGTCAGACTTGGCACGAGGAGCGGGAAGGAAAACGGAAGAAAATGTGTTTCTACAACGTGACCGCGTTCAAAGCCTGAAAACTGTAATTTGAGATCTGAATTCATTACACGGCCAACGGGGGGCGAAGGGGGGGGGGAGAAGAAGTGATGCAACAGCGCCGCTTAACGTCGCGCTCTGGAGGCCGCGCGCCTCCCCCCCCCCTCCCTCCCCCCTCTCACCGGACGCGCGTGCTTACCTTCGGTGTCACAAAGCGTCGCTGCGGCAGGGTTGCGGTCGCGGAGGTTTTGCGCCTTCTTCTGCGGAGTCCGTGCGGTGAATGTTGCGTTTTGCCGCCGTGGTGCGGGGGCCGGTGCGGGCAGCCGCCGTGACCCGCGCGCTTACTGCCATTCTGGTTCCTTCTCACAGCGTCGGTGAAACCAGAGGAAAAGTGTTCAAACTTGATCTGGGGAAGGGGGGGGGGGGACGAGCAGAAAGGAGAACGCTGATGCTTGTTGCACTGCAACCCCCTTAAAAGCGCAGACTTGTTGCATTTGATTCTGGATCTACAAAACGACGCACACCTGCGCGAGGGAGTCACCCAATGCCATCATGTTCCTCGGGACTCATTTTAACAGATCAAACAGCAGCTCGGACCAAGTGCTTCTGTGTGTGTGTGTGTGTGTGTGTGTGTGTGTGTGTGTGTGTGTGTGTGTGTGTGTGTGTGTGTGTGTGTGTGTTTGAGCTGTAACGGGCGCGTGCGCAATTGGCACGCGCGCGTGTGCGCAATTGGCGCACAAACGCGTTTGTGTGCGTGCCTCTTTTTGGGGACGCGGAGACACGGGCTTATTGGACGGAAAGCCCGCGTGACGAAAACAAGTTCAATTCAGAGGGTAGATTGTTGTACGCGCTCTGCGGGTGTCACGCGCGCGCGTGAGTGTGTGTACGTGTGTGTGTGTGTGTGCGTGCGTGTCAGAGAGCGCGTTGTAAACAGCCTGTGGCTCCTCGGCAAATATTCCCCTCACGCTCGGTGTTTTTCAGGGCATGCAGCAGGTTGCGCGTCGGGGGGACGAAAGGAACACCGACGCGCCTCTGCTCCACTTTGGAGAGAGAGACACACAAAAAAAAAACCTCACTGAAACACCGACAACTGCCGCTGAATGTCCGCGTCCCTCCCCCGGTTGGAGAGAGAGTTAACGTTAGTTCCCCCCCTCCTCCCCCCAAAGCATACTCACCCCATTCCCGTGACACATCTCTCCAGGCGGCCAGGTGGAGATGACATTGCAGCCTGTTACTCCATTCGAGTGCCCTCGGCAGGAGTGGGAATCACGTACGACTCTCCTCCGTCAAATTAATCCATCAATTTCTCCTCCATCCAGTGCGCCCCCCTACCCCCCATCCCTCCCACCACCCCCCTCCAAAAAAAAAAAAAATACAGCACCACACGGATAAATCCACCTGTCTGCCCGTGAAGATCTCCCGCTCCAAAGGCGCCTCACCTCCCTCCCGCCTCCTCCCCACCCTCCGGTAAATAGGTAGTATTCCTCTCGGTTAAGGTGTCAAACACCGGAGACGAGCAGGGGGGAAGGGGGGGGGAGGCGGGGGAGCGAAGAAAAGCCGTTGAGGTTCGGGAGGTGGGGGGTGGGGGGGGAAACAGTCAGACTCCAGACTCCAGAATCCACATTAACGCTCGGTTTGGAATCTCCAGCGGCAGCCCCGCGCGTACCGCAGTGAGGGCTTGTGGACAGGTGCGCGCCTCCTCCTCCTCCTCCTCCTCCTCGCGCCGCTCGCGGATTTCTTGGGAGACTGAAGGGGAATTCCGTCACAAATAACACCAAAACGCACACACACATTTAAATATATTTAAATATAATATATATTTATATGTATATATAAATATATCCACACACTCGAATTGTCTCTCTTTCCCGCTTTGCTCACCCTGCTTCTCCCCCGCGCGCCCTCCGAATGAGCACCGCGCTCCCGCCGCAGCACGCGAACACCCGGGACGAATGGGGCGCAAGTTTAAACGGGTCGAGGTATCTGAGCAGCGCGACGCTCCCGCAGCCCGACGAGCGCCCGGGCGGAGTGAAATGAGGAGGAGATGTTCTCCGGCTGTGTCTTCACCCCGCAGCCCGCCCGCCCACGCCGCCTCGCTGGCTGGAGGTACTTACACATCAGCCTAATTAATTAAACATATGGGCAACGGGCCTGAATGGGAGAAGGGTGGTGGGGTGGAGAGGGGAGGGTGCGGGGGGAAGGGGGGGGGGGGGGGGGGGCCCTGGGGGACTTCATCCCCCCCCTTATTATAAAATATCAAGAGGATATTTGGCGAGTTTGGAGGGGCGAGCGCTCCGGATGTCTATCCCTCCCAAAAAACTTTATCTGTTCTTTATAAACGGAAAACGTCTCTTCCTGTTCTGCCCCCCCCACCCCACAGGGATGAATAAAAGGTGCCTCACCGTCACCTGCTGCCGCTTATAGCCAAAATAAACCGCGTGCGCGCGTTTGTGCAGCGCGTCTGATTCTCCGCTCGAGCGCGCGTGTGTGTGTGTGTGTGTGTGTGTGTGTGTGTGTGTGTGTGTGTGTGTGTGTGTGTGTGTGTGTGTGTGCGCGCGCAGTGACGACCGCGTCACCTCCTCGGTGCATCTTTTGCGCGCAGATTAAACATTTTAATATCCGCTGAAGTGATAACTCGATCTCCCCCAGTGGGGGAACACGGCTCCCCTCGCGTGGACGTGTCACGTCACCTCATCAGCGCCGCGGTTGGTAAAAGGCTGCGGGTAAGATAAGAGGAAATAGAGCCATCGCTGAATTACGCTCCTGCAAATTAAACATAATTAGCCGATCAAAACTGCAGCACAGGGCCGAGGGGTGCGGGGGGGGGGGCTCCTCAGGGGAGCTCCCTCCCCCACCCCCCCATCTCCGCATCTCCCTCTGAGTGTTCCCATTGAGTCCCTTTGCAGACAGATGGTGCACGGGAGGTCATGTAAGCCAGCCGGAGGGATCTACCAGGACTGGGTGTTGAGTTACACTTTGAGGGCAAAAACGGTATAAGCAGACCGAGAGGGCTTGTTATTAAGGAACACTTCACTTCCCTCCTACTCCTCCTCCTCCTCTATCCCGAGAATAAAAATCTCCACCTGTTGAGGTCCTCTATCCTCCTCCGTCAGAGCCAGAGCCTCCGAGGCTTGAAATAAAAGAATCCGCCGATTGCGTAACGTGGACATAAAAGAGATGGAGACAGACCACACAAGGAGTGGTCTCTACTTTTTCTTGCGAGGGAAGGATTCCTGAGGTTCCGAATTGAATACCGCTGCTTTTCCATCAGGCCAACCCCCGTCCACGAGCCTCTTCTCCAGCTATTCATCAATAGAGACGGGACAGGCCGGACTTAGGACATCCTCCTGGGACTGTAGAAAATCTGGCCCAACGCTATTTAGAGCCGCTTCAAATTTTTCATCGGAGCTCTCAATATCTATATTTAAATATTAACCGTTTCCAAGGAAATAAAATTATACATTCTTGTTTTTAAAAGGTTTTAAAAAGCTCCCCATTCGTCTATATAAATATAGTCTCATTCGAGGCCCCGCGGCGGCCCCTATATGCGGTGATTTTTGGGACATTCTGGTGGCGAGATTCTCTCTGTCTCCGCGCACAGCGGCGTGGACGATAGCGAGTCAGCTCTGCTCTGTTTTTTAGACAGCTGTGTGTGTTGGAAAATACATTGACGTGTGTTCCCGTTACACGAATCGCTCGGCTCGGTCGCCGTCAGATCTTTCAGGGGCCAACGTCACATCGGACTGAAGTCAACCAGGCGTGTGGCGTCGCAGAGACGAGGCCGGAGACGCTCGGCTCGAGGCTCCTATCCTGCAGTCCAAGGGGCATCTTTATCTCTCCGTTTTTTATGCCCTGTGATTTCACAGGGGGCCCAATTACGAAACATTTGGAAAACAAATTGGCCCCATTATTGGCGGTTGGAGCGTCATCACCGTACTAAGTATTTGATTATGACTTTGTGTAATTACTGAAGACAAAAGCTCATTCCACTGATGTTGTTTAGGTAACAGTCGAAGCCCAGTGCTCTGAAATTTGGAATGAATTAGAGGAAATAAAATGTCCAACCAAAGCAGCTCCAACTATGAATCCAGCAGGCTCACAAACAAACTGTTAAATAAATGAATAAATAGCAGGCAAGAGAGAATTATTACCCAAGGCCTCTGACAAAAATGACGTGGGCAATTTTTTTGTATCCATGGTAACTGACTTCTTCAGTGTCATCACTTTAGCGTATCGGGAGAGGCGCCACCCAGATTTTTTATTTTATTTTGCCTCACGGGTTGTCCTGGCGCTACACGAGGCCCCCGTTCGCGAACAGCCTGCGGCGCTCGCGGGCTACACGGGACGCCAGCCGCTCATTGGATGGGCTGGCGTGCGGCGTCTCCGCTGAACCGCACCTGCACACGCTGACGCTCCCAACGCGGGAAGGCTCTTTTCAGGTTAGCGCGCGCGGCTAATTGGCCGCGAGACGCGGCCCACTGGAGCCTGGAACTGTCGACTTCACTTAACAGCCTTCTTTTTTTTTTAGCAAAGAGGCACATTGTTTCCATGACAACAAGGCGGCCTGACACTTTTTGGGGTTGTATTTTCACTATCAATCTGTGTGTCTTTTTAAGAATAGCCCTTGTGGGTTTCGTGCCTTTTACACTTTGACGACAGTTACTCCGAATCCAGGTGACCCGGCCGCGCCCACGTGGTCGGCTACCTCAGAGCGGCGACACGGACCTGCCCGAGTTTAAATATGCATGGGCCTCTTGGTGCCAGCGCTCACTTGAGTTTGTCTGACAACAGTCTGTCAATGTGATTGACAGGCAAACACATTAACAAAAAAATCCACCAGAATGATTCATTGTAATGTCTCTGTGCGACTGGAAGTAAGCTGGCTGGCGAAGAAAGCAGGTGGGCTGATGACAAACCCACAAGATGAAATTTCTGTCTTTTATACAATGATCTCGACTCATTTTTTATTTTTTTTTCCTTCTTCTCCGGCTGAGGCAGCGGCACGGCGAAGACGCTGCGTTGTAGCTACAGCACACGGCTTTATATAGACTCAGGAAATGAATCACTCCGTCAATAAATGGCAACAAAATAAACAGAAATGTATTCGAGGTTCTCTATCCGAAACAGAACGGTGTGTTAGCTGGCATTTACCGAGTTATAAGATGCTCCTTCCATCTAGTCTGTCTTTTTTACTTTGTCTCCCTCCCTCTGTTGCACTCTCTCCACCTTCTCTCACTCTCGCCCACAGACGAGTGGGTGACCTGGAACGAGCGCTCCCACAGACGGCACTGCTTCCTGCAGCCAGACAGGGGCAGTGTGCTGGCGCCTCCATCTCAGGCGAAGCCTCGGAGGGGGCCCCCGAGGGCCTCAACCTCAAAGGTATCGTCGCCCCATTCAAATGCGCAGGCACCTCTCAAAGAGCATTCATTTCTAAAATTGACACGGGGATTACTTCCTGTCACAGTGCTGATCACAGTGCAGCCGCCAAATCAATTTGTTCGTATAGTGATGCACTGCTGTGTCTTTTTCACTCGGCCACGCCGGCAATTATCCTCAACTTGAAAAGGTCAGTCAATATTTTAATAATTAATCGCAGGGATGGATGTAGAAAGTTTTGAATCTTTGGGGAGATTTCTCTTTCAGAAAATAGTCCGTCCTCCGTTTAACCCCCGAAACTATACATCTTTTTGGTTGAAATGGGTGAATTAAATATGCATAGGTGGGAGAATCTCCAACATTCTGAATACCTTTCTCAAGTAAGAATACTTTTAGTATTTTGTCCAGGCAAGCTTTGAATAATTTATATTTCCAATAACTTTAGGGTCAAATTAAATATGTATTAAAAGACCTGGACTTGGTTAACTTGACGGTGTGCATCTAACATGTCCATCCATACAAAAGGGTTCTGCGGGAGGTGGTTATTGTATAATAAATGACAGAAAGCATTAGAACCTGTGCTTGTCTCAATGTCACTATGCTGCGGCCTGGCAACCAATCAGTGGAGACTCAAAGTGGTCGTCGCACCTGAAACGAAGACCGGGTCAATGAAAAAGTCTGGCACATGACCCCCCCCCCCCTCCGTAAAACGCCAAGCCCGTATTATACAAACACGTTAGAACTTGTTAAATAACGAGCTGGTAGGAAGGGCTTGTTACAGTCCCTCTATCTTCAAAGCAGGGGACACCCAATTACTTTACTCTCTTATTTCCATTTAATGCTGCTTTATAACTTAACTCAGCGGAAAATATTGTGCTTTTTATTCTATTATTAGTCATCACATTGCAGATACATTAAAAACACAGAGCAAAGAAGTTATGATGAAGTAATAAAGTTTAATCTTCCCAATAATGACTCAAATTATCCCCACATTTACTGGTTGGTAAACCAGAGAGATGAACACATTAATGCAGCAATAATTACAACCCGGTGTCATGATATATATGAATGTGAAATGGGCCATTCTGCATAGTGAGCACTTCTACCTTTAGTACTTTAAGTAAACTCTGATTCTAATACAGGACACCGACCGCCTCGACCCACATGGGGGAGCGGCCTTCAGCGCACACAAAGATGTGACAAAAGTCACCCAGTTGATTTGGTCAAATACATGTTTGGTTAATTTGCACATAAAGCGCCAGGGCACAATCCGCTAGCCAATTTTACAGCTCGCAAATCCTCCGTGATACAGGAAATCCCTTTTGTATGATCAGGGTGTTATAATACGTGTGCTCTCAGAGGTTACAGTACATTGGGTACTTTGGGGGAGTTGGTGCAATAGTGCGTTTCAGTGCTGGAAGCTGAAGCCAAATCAAACTAATTGGCCCAGTCCACAGAACCATTTAAAATAGCTCATCTCGAGGCTGTAGCTCTTTATGGCCTTTCTATTGCCAGCACAGCCAGAGGCTGCAATAAATATCTTACTGGCGATGAACGAAAACCAGACCGAAATTAAAACGTTGCTTATTTATCAGATGGGATCTCACACTCCAAATACAAGATTAGCTGGAACTTTCAAACGTTTGTCAGAACATATGAGCTGCTCCGGGTACCGATGGGAGCTG